AGAAACATGTCCTTTACCCTGACTGCGGGCCCCCCCCCCCCCAGATATTTGAAGGCTTTCTTTTTCATATCTTTAGAGATCTGTTCAGGTGTCACACCCTAGAGAGGACTTCCTTTGACCACCATGCCATCTCTCAGTCTGTCCCCTTATCCAGCTTCCTGTTTCTTCACCACACTTACTATGACCTGACGTGATTTAATCTGTTATTTGCCTTCAACATTAGAATATAGTCCCTACAATGAAGGACTTTTTAAAAATTTTATTTATTTTCTCCATGAATGAGAGAGACAGAGAGAGACAGCAACTCCAAAAGGGCTCGGCTGCTGTAATCCACTCTTAGCTTCAACCAGCCCAGGATTGGGCATGCATGTGCCTGGCACACTCAGGGAAGACTCTGGATGCAAACTGTGTCCCTTCCCATGCAGGTCAGCTTTGCAGGGTGTCACATTTTAGTGCTCCACCACCATCCTGCCTCAAGAACTTTTCATTTACGTCTCTAACACCCAGGGCACTGTCCTGTAGGTGCTCAATAAATACAGTTCCAAATTCCTTTTTTTTAAATCAGGAAGATTTAACAAAGAAATGTTTTAACAATTGCCTCCTTTTATCATTGTGGCTATGATAAATGTTGTTACTTATTATTATTTTTTTTTCAGAGAGATTTTTTGCTATACAGAGGAAGACCAAGAGACAAAAAAAAACAAGAAATCATACCCCAGGGTGGATGGCCACACCACAATCCTTTCTCCATTCTCCTTTCAGGATCTTGGGCACACATACACATATGCCTGGCATAATTTTCAAGCTGCCAGGACTGAGACTCGAACTGCAGTCAACTATGTGGGAGTCCAGCGACATAACCATTATACCATCTGCTGGTCCCAATGTACTTTAATGTTCCTTTTAGATTGCCCTTTTGTCTGGAATCCCTTGGCTATGTTCTTGGCCCATTCATTGCATCCATTGAATTTTTCTCCCTCTCTCTCTAGACAGATTCTGGGCTGTGGATTGTAGACTTTCCTACCATGATTAAATAGTTTTACTTATCTGCAACAGCATTTTCCTTGGTCTTAGTTTGGTATTGCCGCACAGGTAGGGAGGTCAAAGTCAGATCCTGTACCAATATACAGCACAGATAGAGTTCTGATTTCCCACAGGTGTTTCTGTCCTCAGTCAAGGTGAGACTTCCTAGGCAAAGTTGCTAGGGCTGTGGGCTGAGATTTCTAGACATCTTGGTTCTGATCTCTCATCAAAGATCCCAGTACGTGTTTCCTAAACACACAGTGACTTTGGCCTCTTCTCTCAGCCTGGGTGTTCCAACCTTGGCCTCCAGTATCCTCTGACCTCTTGGCATCAATTCTCACTCCTCCAACTTAGAGTCTGGCCTTCACTTGTGTTCTTTCTTGCTTTTAGTCTCACTGTGTATCAAAACCAAAATAGGGCCAGCAGGTGGTGTGGTGGTTAAGGCACTGGATCCCACATAGCTGACTCCATGGTTTAAGTCCAGGGCCCAGTAGCTTGAAAAACACACCAGGTGCATGTGCGTGCGTGCCCAAAATCCTGAGAGGAGAATGAAAGAGAAGGGATTGAGGCATAGCCATCCCCTTAGGGGGTGATTTCTCACTTTCCCTCTCTTTGTCTCTCTCAGTGCATGCACATGACCTGTGGCAAAAAATCTTAAAAACATAAAAAACAAAAATTTATGTTATACATTAGTTTGCTTTTTGTCATTGTTGTTTGGGTGAGAGCAGCTTCTCACACCTGCCCAGTCAGCCATACTAACTAGGGGCACATGGAAATTAGTTATTTTAACAACTTAAAAGTTATTTATTTCCTCCATAAGCAAAAGAGACAGATAGACAAGCACCCCCCACTGGGGTCTTTTTTTTTTTTTTTTTTTGAGAGAGAGCTTTTAGCTATAGGGCATGTGCACTCACCAGACAGACAGAGAGAGAGACAGAAAGACAGAAAGCGAGAAATCACCCCCCAGGGGGGATGACCATGCCACAATCCCTGCTCCATTCTCCTCTTGGGATCTTGGGCATGCACGCACATGCACCTGGCGTGAGTTTTAAGTCACTGGGTCCGGGATGGGAACCGTGGTTGACCACATGGGAGGCCAGTGACATAACCACTATGCTAACTGCTGGGCCCGCCCCACTGGGGTCTTGATGCCACAATCCATCCCAGCTTCAGCCAGCCCTGATTATGAGTGTGTATGTGCTCAAGGTACTCAGGAATATTTCTGATGCAAACCTGGAGCCTTTCTACATGGTCACGCTCAATGAGTATCACATTTTTTTTAACCATGTACCACTGTCCACTCCCTACTTTAATATGTTAAAAGCAACATTTCTGAAAGTATAATGTTCCTACCTATCCAAAGGTACTTACACCTACTGCTTACATAAGTGAGCAGTAATAGAAATTTATATTCTTGTATTCTAGGTCTCTGGATATTCTAATATTTAAAGGGAAGTGTTAGATATTATTTATAAATAATTGTTTTATATTGCCAGAGGGTACGTGTGTGCGTGTGTGTGTGTGTGTGAACGAGAGAGAGAGAGAATGAGAAAGTGACACACAATCTTCTCCCCAAGGGATATGGTCACACTGTGATCCTTTTTCCAGTTCTTCATCTGTTGAGAGATTTGGGACATCCATGCACACATGCCCATCATGGTTTTTTTTAAGCCACCAGGGATGGTATTTGAACCATGGTCAACCATGTAGGTGTTTCCTGATGCATAATGTTTAACCACTGTTCTATGGGGCCAACCTGGTAAATTATGTTAAACAGTGATTTCATCATCTGTATCATCTATTTCCTGCCATGATCCGGGCTAGTTGAGACTGGGCTCAATCCCAGCATGAAGACCTCGTTGGGGGCTCCCATCTCTCTGTCTTCATCTCTCCTGGAAGAAATAAGTAGACTTTAAACAAATCATTTCAAGTTCTATAAAAGGAAGAATTTTGTCAAGTGAAAAGTAATTATAGGAGTGACATTACAATTATGTATCTAGAGAGCATTGTTTTTGCCAAGGTTTACTCCCTTTAATTCCATTCATAAGCCTATAATGACTGATAGTAGGTATATTCACAGGACATGTCCAGGAAGTATTATGGGTTATTTATTATTATTGGTTATTTATTATTAATTACTTTATTAATTGGTTGTTTATTATTAATTACTGTATTATTCTAAGATATATTTTTATTTACTTGCAAGTTGAAGTTCACAGACTTTAAATTGGTTGTATTTGGGCAAATATAAATATAAAACACTTCCATCACTTCACAAATGTTTCTTATTATGTTTTATGCCATTCGTTTTAATTTTTTTTTCTCCCAGATGTTCAGACATCTCACCTGAAATCTGAAGAGCCTCATAAGAAGCAAAGTACTTCAAAAACGGGTGATTTCATGGATTCAACAGACAGAAACTACCTTGTTAAATTATGGGCCAAACTTTCAGTCAAAAAAACACCAGCGGTAAGGGAGGAGTACAAGGGTAAAGAGGAACCAATCCTTACACCACGTCAGACAAAAAGGGGGTTTAATATTTGGAACAAATAAGTTTTTCCCCAAATTATTCCATCACTGGTATCAGCTGAACACAGGATATTTTTTGCCTTGTTCCACACCTCTAAAAATAGACACTGGTTCTAAAAGTAGGATATTCAGTAGTCAAGCCAAAAAGAACAACAATAAAGCAAAAGCTATAAGGAAAAAAGGGAGTTTACTGGTCTCAAAGCCAGCATCTTATAAGGGTCAGTCCTTGGGGCCTATGATCAGAACCCCTAACAGTATCGCCAGATGGAAGTGACAGCTGGCCTACCCACCCTGAAAAGGCGAGGGTCCTTGATACTATTAATAGTAAAGGGATTACAATACATGTCAGTTGTTCTGGAGAGTTTACACTGGGCAAAGATTACAGGAGGGTCCTATAGAGATGAGGGAATGGATGGGATTGGGTAAAAGTCCATTAGTAGAAGCCATCTAAAGTACAGTATTGGTAGTGATGGTAGTCTGTTTAGTAGGATTTGTAGTCAATGTACAGGGAGCCAGCAAACTTTGAATTATCTTGAGTAATATCTTATGGCAGTCAGCCACAGAGTTAACTGGTAAGCAGGCTGGCCAATCACCCCCTTTCCTGGTAGTTCTACAGATCTATAATTCTATATTATATATGTGATATACATAGATATCTATGAGTGATTTTTTGGATTCTGCAGACAGAACTACCTTGTTAAATTATAGATATCTTTATATATCATATGTGTCATATGATACTCAACTCTTCTAATTAGCAAGAATAGAAAAGTACTGCATGAATTGGCCCATGGCCTAGTGGTTAAGGGAACTAGATCCCACATGAGTGATCATACAGTTCAAATCCTGGCCCCACTGGTTGAAAAATACACTACCGTTTGTGTGTTTTGCATGCTCCAAATCCCAACAGGGTGGAGAAATAGAGAAGGCACTGCAATGTGACCATTCCCCAGTGAGAAGTGCTTTCTCCTACTCCCTCTGGCCCTCTTTCTCACTCTTTCTTTCTGCTGCTTTATCTCTCTCTGGCAAGCCCTCTGGCAAAAACAAAAACAAATTGCTATGAATACAGTAAGATATGTATTTCAAAAGAAAACTTTCAGTGATGCCGAGTTATAATTTTGAATATTCTTGGACTGAGCCTTAACTGTTAGTCCAAGCAGAGCCCATGTTTTGTAACTTCAATCTATTTAAACCAATCATGTAACTTAGTCCCAACTATGTTCACTGAGAACTCTGAGAAATCAGCGTGAACTGGAGTATTATATGCAGCCTTCACACTGCCTTCAGATAGGCTATGATCATTTTCCATTTGCAATTGTTTTTATGTGATTATCTAGGAATACGAAGAGACAAATGGCTGTAATTGAAGTGTTGGACCTTCTTTTTCAATCTGAAATATTTGTCATTTTCTCTTTAATCCTTTTTCACCTCTTTCTTCATTTCTTTTTGATTAAAATTTTTTTTCTCCATACTTTCTCTTAAGTGATTATTTGATGTATTTTTTCTAGTCTAATTTTCACTTCTAAAACAATTTTTAAATAGTTCTAATTCTTTTTATTTCTAATTTCTTCCCGAGTTCGGCTACCTTATTTACATAAATTGTAAACTATTTGTTCCTTAGTGATTTGTGCCATTTCCTTTTTAAAGAAAGTTTATTTATTTCTCCCATGAGCAAGAGCAAGACAGACAGAGAGAGACACAGCATCCCCAATAGGTCTTACTGTCACAGTCCACCCCTAGCCTCCAGCCAGTCTCAGCTCATGGGCACATGCATGTCCAGCATACTCAGGTAGGTCTCTGTTCTTGGAACCCTGAACCTTCCCATTTGATTGCCTCACAGAGCATCATATTCCACCACTGCACCACCATCTGACCCCTTGTATCATCTTCTTAATGCCTTTTAGCTTATTTTGCGAAATCAGTAGTAGATTAGTGACCTAAATATCATCTATTTCCGGCATAAGCTTTCATTGTCTGTGGAGTGTTATTCTGCTCATTTTCCTCTTTATTTCTTATAATAACTTTGTATGAGATTTGAGTAAATATTGGGTCGTCAGGAAAGTCATGACATGTTTTTCTGTATTTCTATACAAAAATGCAATAAGACTTTTCCAACAGCCCAATACTTTCTATTGCTCATTTTTATATGGAGTTAATTTTCTCAAATTTTTAGAAAGGACTTTCAAATAGCATTAATATATGAAGGTATTTCAAGAAGTTTGTATTAAAGTACAAGTTTTATTTTGGTGCAAAAAATTTTGCAATCCCTGCATAACTTTTCCGTAACATAAATTCTTTGTGACCTTTTGAAAAACTCCCTTATACATAGACGGCAGCTTCCTTCTTGAGGTTTCCTGGCTTTGTTCCCACTTTGCCTCTTTGAATCTGAACTTTTTCTTTTCTTTGTTTCTGTTGATTCTGTCCTAATAAATATTTATTCCACTCCCATCAGCTTCCTTAAATGCGGCCTGTCTCAGGAAGGAGCACAAGTGGGTCAGTTTCACGAATTCACAGCTGATCCAGCTCCTCTGGAGCTACTTAATCATCTACTATTGCAGTGAGAACAAACCCCCTGTTGTGTTCCAGCTGTAGCTCCCAGTTGTCCACTTTGCTTCTCAGTGCAGGTTTTTAGCTGTCTTGGTGGACTCCTATTCTCAGTCCTTTCCGTCACTGTGTCGCTCTCTTCAGCTTCCTCCTGCATGGACACTGATACCATGGAGGAGTTGTGGCATTTAGGTCTCTATATTTGGGGGATGGAGAGAATATCTTATCACATAGTTTTGTTGTAAATGTTTCGATATGTTTTTCATTTGGTAGTCGGTTGCTATATCTACTTTTATTTGGAGATTCTAGAAGATCAAAAACTATGCTGCCACTGTTGTAGTCTTCTCAGTGAGAAATAAGAGGACATCCAGAAATAGCCACATTTATTGGAGTTTATTGATTAAGCTGGTGGTATACGGGGGACTCATGTCTCTCATGTCCCTGAGTGAAAGGAGAAAGGAGCTTATATAGGCCAAAAATGCACAGATGGTTTACAAGGACAAAGGGACAAAGTAAAGGGGTTTCCGGAAAGGTAGGGGGTAGGGTTTTCTATCTTCAAAGCAAAAAAGCCAGTTACAGAAGCAAAGCAAGCAGGTTAATTAGTCTTAAGGGTAAGTTCTGATTACAATGGAATTTTAATGGCTTCCCTGATTCTGGTCAAGGTCTATGGTTACTGATTGTTTCTTGAGGCCGCTGGGAGTGGGGCTTCTTTGGATCTTATCTACACTCATGGGGAGGGGGAGAAGAAGGCACAGTTTCAAAGATGGAAGGACCTTTTCAAAATGGAGTCACACTTGCTTCATTCCCCACTTCTCTTGGAGGTGCTCCTCCAAGATGGGGTCATGCCTGCTTCACCACTACTACAGTCTTCTTCCCAGTCATGATATAATTTAGGTCAAGCATCCATGGGGGAAAATATTAGGATGGTATAGAGTAAAATCACAGTAAATGCACAGTATAGACCCATCCAGGGTAAAATAATAACAAAATCCCACAAAGATGAGTAATAACAAACATAAATAACAACAATAATAAATTCACAGCAAGATTTAGTTAATGTAATTTGATAGTAATGTGAAGCAATTCAGATATATATTGGAGTTATTTAAACATGTAGGTGTTTTTGTTTTGTTTATTTTGTTTCTTCACTACTAAGTGTAGAGAGTATGTGTGTGCTCATGAGAGAAAGAGAGAGAGAGAGATTGGATGAAGCACCCTGGACCAGGTACGGGCATGCTGTGACCCCCTTTCCCCAGCCCTCCAGTCCCTCTGGATCCTGGGTGCCCATTTGCACCTAACACATTCTCATACTGATCTGGGGATCTGACCCTGTAGTCACCCTCATGGCTTTCAGTTTTGTGAGGCACTTGCATTATCAGCATGCCAGTGACTGGGCCTAAACATACAGTGTTTAAGTGATGAACCTTGAGTAAGGTTAGTTCCTTTGTTGTGGCTTTAGAGCCTCTCCCTGACCTCTGGACAGATATTTTCTTTTCATCTTGCTTACGTAGAAGCACAGACCTAATGGCCAAGAAATGACTGGCATGGTCTTGGTAATCAGATATCCACCTAACAGTCTATGTTCTTCAGTGAGTCCATGTTAGCTCTCATGTGTAGGTTTCTAAGAATAATTTTGAAACCAGCAGTTAGTGTAATGGCTATGTTGCTGGACTCCCATGTAGCTGACCACGGTTCGAGTCCCAGACCCAGTGGCTTAAACTCACGCTGGACACGTGTGTGTGCATGCCCAGGATCCCAAGAGGAGAATGGAGAAGGGATTGCGGCATGGTCATCCTCCCTGGGGAGTGATTTCTTGCTTTCTGTCTCTCTCTTTCTCTTTCTCTCTTTCTGGAGAATGCATGCACCCTATAGCAAAAACTCCTAAAAATAAAATAAAAGAATACTTTCAAAGCTTGACCTAGACCTTCTTAAGATAGGAAGAGTTGACAGCAAATTCTAGTTCAGATTACCAAGAATGGTAAACATTATTCACTCTTTATATTATCCCCCCATATTCCGTTGTGCATTAAAGAGATTTACTGGGCTTGTGCTTTATGCTAAGGTGTGTGTGCTGAGGATATAGCAGTGACCACAGGGACTCCTGGTCCCCGGGATATGTCTTGTTCCCCAGAGATGCTCAGTGTGCCAACCTTGGTATCAGGAGCAGTCACTCCTGCAGTTAAGGTTTTGTAATGCAAAAATGTTCTTAGAATCACACTAACCTAATTGTCAAAACCTGATTCTTAACAAAATTCCTCACATGGGGCCAGCAGGTGGTGTAGTGGTTAAGGTGCCGGACTCCCACATGGCCCACCTCGGCCCAGACCTGGCAGCTTAAAACTCACACCGGGTGTGTGTACATATCTGCCCAAGATCCCAAGAGGGGAACTAGGGGGAAGGGATTGCGGTGCGGTCCCAATTACCTCTCTGTCTCTCTCTGTCTGTTTGGTGAGAGCATGTGCACTGTAGAAAACAAAATTTCCCCAAGTCATGTGAACACCTGAAACTATGCTAGTCCCCAAGACCAGTAGTTAGCCAGTGGCATGGCTCATTACTGTTGACTATAGCATGTATTCTTTCCATAGCAGATTGTTCTTAATATTTCTTATGCAATTTTAGGTGAATTCCTACTTATAGTGGAGTCTGGTAGTGAGATAAAATCAAAACAGCCAAGCTTATTTCAGATTACATTACTTCAAGCAAAGATTAGTGTACTTTAGATGTACTTGCTATTTAGATAAATATTATTATAACTTTCTTTATAAATGATGAACCCTTTATGTAAAACAAATAAGCACTTGATAATTTATTTTTTCTGTAAATTAAAAATGTTATATATTTGGTTTCATTTAAGTGAGCAAATGCAGTTCATGGATGGTTGCTAAACAGGTCAGAATCCATCAGCTGACCCAGGTATAAGCACAAGGTGTTCCATTTATGAAATAGCACGTGCTAGCCTCCCCCCTCCCATCTTTTTTTTATCTTCTTTTGCCAACAAGGCTATAACCCTTTGAACACAGGGGCTGAGTTTTGTATCCTCATTAGCCCTTACTATGTATTGATGGTAATGGTGATATCACTGTAATATGGGGGAAGACTTTCCAATTTTTCTTGTTTCACAGTTATACTTAAATATTTAAGTGCATATTCATCCAACCAGCTACCGTATGAAAGGTCTTCAAAAAGTTTAGTGAGGGTCAACTACATGGCATAGTGGTTAAGGCAGCCAGATCCCACATGAACAACTATTCGGTTTGAATACCCAGTGGCTTGAAAGTATGCTGAGCCCATGCCCGTGTGTGCCCAAAATCCTGAAAGGACGGAGAAATGGAGATAAGATTGTGGCATGGCCATACCCCATTGAAGGGTGCTTTCTCCCTCCCTCCCTCTCTGAGCCCATACTTCCTCTGGCAAAAAGAAAAGAAGAACTCATCGAAGATGTGTTATAAAAAAGCTATGCATGGATTTCAAATTTTGTGCACCAATAAACTTATACTTTGATTCCATTTTCTCATGAAGTTTTTTGAAGTCCTCTTAGATCAGGGAGGACTAAAGAGAATAATAGCCTGTACCTTTGGGACCAGCAGTTAGCGTAATGGCTATGTCGCTGAACGCCCATGTAGCCCACTATGGTTCGAGTCCTGGACCCGGTGGCTTAAACTCATGCCGGGCACGTGTGTGTGCATACGTGCCCAAGATCCCAAGAGGAGAATGAAGGAGAAGGGATTGTATCGTGGCCATCCCCCCTGGGGGGGGGTGATTTCTTGCTTTCTGTCTCTCTGCCTCTCTCTGTCTTTCTGGCAAGCACATGCACCCTATAGCAAAAACCTCTCCAAAAATAAAATAAAATAAAATAAAATAGCCTGTACCCTTAAGAAGTGTATAACCCCATTAGAAAAAAATTTTTAAATGTAAATCTAAAATGTCTATAAAAATCGCCACATTGTTATTTAGATGTCAAATAAAGTTTATATATTAAATTGTCATTTTTATAAAAATATAAAACAGAACTCTTCATTTTAGTCATAAAGTTTGTTCTTTTCTTTCCACTGAACAAATATTGATTGCTTTTTATTCCTGTCCTTTTTTCTGTCTATGTATTTGGCAATATCTCGTAAGAGGAAAATTATTATAGCTATTTTAGTCATCTGACACATTTATAATGTCAGCATAATTTTTTGATCATGTTTCTTGCCTAGGAAAGAGATTCTTTACACAGACAGCATGAGGCAGCCCGACAAGCTCTAATGGGAAAGACGCCCCCTAATCACACTCTCCTATTCCAAAGGTAGGAACTTATCATGCTTATTTATACCTGAGCAACTTTAGACTGATCGAATAGTGTCTAGATATACCAAGTCACTCAAATCATCAACATGAACAAAGATTTCTGTATGAAAATGGACCCAGTGATTTGGCAGTAAACCCAGTGTAGGAATTTATATTTTCTATTCATTTATGTATTTCTTAAAAAGCCACAATATGCTCATAGCCACTGACTCAGGGACACAGTGGTGCAGACGTGATCAGACCCAGCACCTACATGGGTTCTTGTCTCACGTTCACGAAGACTTAAAGACACAGACACAGAGAGGGAGCAGCAAGCAGAGTTTATTAAGAGAGGGAAGGAAGAACAGAGCTCCGAAGCAGGAATCGAGTCCTAGAAACTGTGTTTCCCAAGAACTGGGGTAGGGGCATTTCTCTGATTAGAAGGTGCTTTGTCTGGGCCTGCTCTCGTGCATGTGTTTCTCTTGTGTGGGGAATCCCGCACTAGATGAGTTCAGTTATTTCTCTTAATTTTGGAGTGGGTACGAAGGTCAGGAGAGTCTTTGTCTAAAAGTTTTGGGATGTAAAAATACCATTATCTTCTTCCCCAGAATGTGGGACCTGGAAAAATTTAGGTCGTGCTGCCTAGGTTAGTCACCGAGCCACTGTCACAAGCCGTCTCTCCTGAGCAAGCAGCCGAGCTGCTGAGTCTCCATCTTAAAACTTAACCTTCTTGTGATTCCATTTTGGACTTAAAACTTATTTTTAGTATCTCTGTCTCATACCTCACTACTAGAAACATATGATTTCCTGTAAGTTAAAGAGTATTTCTGGTGTTCGTGAATGAAGGTGAACTATATCCTGTTGAGGACCTTGTACTTGTCTGTCATGACTCTCCAAACAGTAAGAATTAATTATTTGTGGAAGCATGTGTTTAATTTCTCCTTTCTATAGTAGACTGTAAATTCTATAAGGATAGAAACCACCTATTTTTATTAACCCATGAATTCTTAGTCTTAGTATGAAATATTTTCCTTACTGACTGCCACAGAGTAAGGGCCTCAGAAAGGTTAGTAGCTAAGTATTTCTTGTTCTATTAACTATTATATACAAAGAGGCACATTTAGGCCTTATGTTTTACTCAAAATAAATAACTGGATGGTCTGAATGCCAATCTAGCATCAATATACAGCAGAGTTACTTTTTTCTTGGAGAGATTTTTGCTATAGGGTGTGTGCGCTTGCTGGAAAGACAGAGAGAGACAGAGAGATAGAAAGCGAGAAATCACCTCCCAGGGGGGATGGCCACACTAACAATCCCTTTTCCTCCATTCTTCTCTCGGGATCTTGGGCACGCACGCACACGTGCTCGGCGTTGGTTTAAGCCACCAGGTCTGGGACTCGAACCGCGGTCGACTACGTGGGAGTCCAGCAACATAGCCATTACTCTAACTGCTAGTCCCAGAGCAGAGTTACTTCTGCAGTTAATGTTTTGTAATGCAGAAAAAGGTTCTCAGATTCACAGCACCTTAATTGTTAAAAACTGATTTTTTTTTTTTTTTTTGGAGAGGTTTTTGCTACAGGGTACGTGTGCTCGCCAAGAAGACAGAGAGAGACAGAGAGACAGAAAGTGAGAAATCATCCCCCAAGGGAGATGGCCACACCGCAATCCTTTCTCCTCCATTCTCCTCTCAGGATCTTGGGCACATACATGCACTCAACATGAGTTTAAGCCACCAGGTCTGGGACTCAAACTGTGGTTGACTGCATGGGAGTCCAGCGACATAACCATTATGCCAACTGCTGGTCCCCAAAACTGATTTTTTTTTTTTTAGAGATTTTTGCTTTAGGACATATGTGCTGGTGGGTGGTGGGTGGGGTAGGAGGGAGGAGCCAGAGATAGTGAGAGGGAGAGTGAGAAATCACCCTCCATGGGGGATGGCTACACCTCAGTCCCTTCTCCATTCTCCTTCTGGGATCTTGAGCATACACACACACACATGCGTGCGCACACACACACGCTCAGTGTGAGTCTTAAGTCACCAGGTCTGGAACTCAAACCACTGTCTGCCACGTGGGAATCCAGTGATATAACCACTACACCAACTACACCATCTGCTGGCCTCAAAAACTGATTCTTAAAAAAGTGATGTTCGGGGGGTTAGCAGATGGCATAGCAGTTACTTCTCTCAACTCCCACATGGTTGGAGTTGACCATGGTTCAAGTCCTGGGCCCGGCAGCTTCAAACTCACTCTGTGTGTGTGTGTGTGTGTGTGTGTGTGTGTGTGGTGTCCAAGATCCTGAGAGGAGAATGGAGGAGAAGGGATTGTGGCATAGCCATCCATCATGGGGTGGGGGTGGTAATTTCTCGCTTTCTCTCTTTCTCTCTCTCTGGTGAATGCACATGCCCAAATAGCAAAAATCTCTTAAAAATAAAAATTAAAAAAGTTATGGTTGGTCGCGTGCCTGGAGGTCCCATGGATCTGATTCTTGCTTCAGTGTGTTTGGACAGACAGAACAGAACAGTTCCCAGGCTCCAACCATCCTCTAATTTCTTGGCTAGTCGCCATCTCTGAGACCATCTTCTAGGCCATCTCCTGCCTCTGGAGCCAGCCAACACCGTTTTGTGGTTAGCTTCTAATTCTGGACCAGCCATGAGCTCCAGATTCGTCAGAATTATTCTGCCATGAGGGAAGCTGCTGTGAGCCATACCGTCAATCTGCATCTGTGTCCTCCTACCTCTCTCTGGGTTTCTATTTCAGTGGTGACGATGTGGCTCTGGAGGGCATGGGCAGTCGCTTCCTTGAGGTGGCCAAGGAGAAGTGGAACATTCCTAAAGATGTAAAACCCCAGTCAGCAGGTGACATGGTGGTTAAGGCATTGGACTCCCACGTGGTCGACTGTAGTTCGAGTCCAGACCCAGTGGCCTGAAATTCATGCCGGTTGCGTGCATGCATGTGCACGTGTGTGTGTGTGTGTGTGCTCAAAACCCTGAGAGGAGAATGGAGGAAAAAGGATTATGGCATCACCATCCCCACCCCCAGGGGGTGATTTCTTGCTTTCTGTCTCTTGGGTGAGCCCACGCTCCCTATAGCAAAAAAAAAAACTCTCCAAAAAAAAAAAAAAAGATGCAAAACCAGCTTGGCAGCCACACTCTTTTCCAGGGCACACAGATGCCGTATCAGGATAGATGGGGTAAAACTCTAGATGCCATGGAAACTGCCATGACCCTGGAGAAAGCTCTGAGCCAGGCCCTTTTGGATCTTCATGCCCTGGGTGCTGCCACACTGACTCCCATCTCTGCGACTTCCTGGAGACCCCCTTCCTAGATGAGGAAACGAAACTCATCAAGAAGATGGGCCACCACCTGACTAACCTCTGTAGGCTGGGGGTCCCCAAGATGGTCTGGGTGAGTATCACCCAGACTCACGTTGAAGCACAGTGGGCCTCCAGAGCACAGGGGCGGGAAGGCCCTGCGTCTCCTGGTCTCAGCTTGCAGGCCTCTCTCTCCAGTCACTTGGCAGCTTTTTAACTGCCCTGGAGCCCTCTCCTATGCCTTGGACCAAAAGAAAATAAAGTTTTTTGTAGGGGCCGGGGGGGAAGATGGTTATGGAACATTTGCATGTTATTTTCTCATTGATGTTACAGGCTTCATTGTTCTGAATTCTTTTCCTGTGACCTTTTGGAATATTAGAATAATAAAGTACAAAATTCCCTGTTTTCAGAAAGTTCCTAAGAGCACTAACAAAATTTTAACTACTAAGTGGTGCAAAAGTAATTATGGTTTTGCATTGTTATCATTTGTCTTTTGATATTGGATACATTCTTTTTTATTTATTTATTTTTTTAGAGGTTTTCACTATAGGGCGCGTGCGCTCGCCAGACAGACAGAGACATAGAGACAGAAAGCGAGAAATCACCCCCCATGGGGGATGGTCATGCCGCAATCCCTTCTCCTCCATTCCCCTCTCGAGATCTTGGGCACGCATGCACACGCGCCCGGCGTGAGTTTTAAGCCACCAGGTTCGGGACACGAACCGCAGTCAACTACGTGGGAGTCCAGCGACATAGCCATTATGCTAACTGCTGGTTCCCGATATTGGATACATTCTTAAAATGTGGTTATGTTATACATCATTTTAATATACAGTTCTTTTTTTTTTTTGGCGAGGTTTTCACTATAGGGTGCGTGCGCTCGCCAGACAGACAGAGAGAGACAGAGAGACAGAAAGCGAGAAATCACCCCCCAGGGGGGATGGTCACACCGCAGTCCCTTCTCCTCCATTCTCCTCTCAGGATCTTGGGCATGCACGCACACGTGCCCGGCATGAGTTTTAAACCACCAGGTCTGGGATGCAAACCGCAGTTGACTACGTGGGAGTCCAGCGACATAGCCATTATGCTAACTGCTGGTTCCCAATATACAGTTCTTTATTTTTTTTTTTTTTTTACTAATGACTTATTACTTGCTGTTTTTTGTCTTCTATATTTTATACTATGGACATGATGTTAAAAATAAAGCAAATTCAAGTGATTTTCTTTTTATTTTTTTAGAGCAAATTTTGCCATAGGGTTCATGCGCTTGCTGGAGAGACAGAGAGAAACAGAGAGACAGAAAGTGAGAATTCACTCCTTGATGGGGATGGCCATGCCACAACCCCTTTTCCTCCATTCTCCTCTCAGGATTTTGGGCACACATGCACACGCACCCTGTGCGAGTGTTAAGCCGCTAGGTCTGAGACTCAAATCTCAGTCAACTACATGGGAGTCCAGCCATGTAACCATTACACCATCTGCTGGTTCTGCGAGTGATTTTCTTATTCGAGTTCAAAATGGGTCATAAGGCAGTGGAGACAACTCATAACATCAACAACATATTGGCCCAGAAACTGCTTAGGAACACACAGTGCAGTTCAAGTTTTGCAAAGGAGACGAGAGCCTTGAAGATGAGCGTAGTGACTGGCCATAAGAAGTTAACAGGGACCACTGAGAGCAGTCATTGAAGCTGATCCTCTCATGATTACATGAGAAATTGATGAAGAACTCAAGGTCAACCGTTCCATGATCCTTTGGCATTTGAAACAAATTGGAAAAGTGAAGAAGCTCAATAAGTGGGTGCCTCCTGAGCTAACTGAAAATCAGAAAAATTGCTTTGAGTGTCACCTTCTCTTATGCTACACAACCACAATGAACCATTTCTTGATCAGATCATGATGAAAAATGGATTTTATATGGCAACTGATGATGACCAGCTCAGTGGTTGGACTGAGATGCAGCTCCAAAGCACATCCCAAAGCCAAACATACACCCATAAAAGATCATGTTCACTGTTTGCTGGGGTCTGATCCACTTTCTGAATCCTGGCAAACCATTACATTAAGTATGCTCAGCAAATCAGCGAGAAGCACCGGAAACTGCAGCACCTGCTGCCAGTATCGGTCAGCAGCCAGGGCCTAGTTCTACTCCACAACAATGCACATTGCACAGACAGTGCTTCAAAAGTGGAATGAATTGGGACCAGCAGTTAGAGTAATGGTTATGTTGCTGGACTCCCACATAGTCGACCACGGTTCGCGTCCTGGACTCAGTGGCTTAGAACTCAACGCTGGGTGCGTGTGCGTGCGTGCCCAAGATCCTGAGAGGAGATTGGAGGAGAAGGGATTGCAGCATGGCCATCCCTCCTGGGGGGGTGATTTCTCGCTTTCTGTCTCTCTGTCTCTCTGGTGCGCACATGCGCCCTATAACAAAAACCTCTAAAAAAAGAAAAGTGGAATGAATTTGACTGTGAAGTTCAGCCTCATCTGCCATATTCACCTGACCTCTCATCAACCAACTGCCACTTCTTCAAGCATCTCCACAATGTTTTGCAGGGAAAATGCTTCCATAACCAGCAGGATGTAGATGCTTTCCAAAAGTGTCGGATCCCAAACAATGGATTTTTATGCTACAGAGAAAGAACAAACCCATTTCTCATGGGCAAAAATGTGTCAGTTGTAATGGCTCCTAGTTTGATTAATAAAGATGTGTTTGAGCCTAATTATCATGATTTAAAGTTCACAGTTCAAAACTGCAATTGCTTTTGCACCAACCTAATATAACATTTTAACAAATGTTTTAAGTTAGAAATTCAATGATTCAAGGAAATAGAATTTTAAAGGCCATTTCAAATTTTCAGTGTCAGTTATTATTATTTTTTGGAGAGGTTTTTGCTATAGGGCGCATGCGCTCGCCAGAAAGAGAGACAGAGACAGAGAGACAGAAAGTGAGAAATCACTCCCCAGGGGGGGATGGCCATGCCACAATCTCTTCTCCTCCATTCTCCTCTCGGGATTTTGGGCACGCACGCACACGCACCCGGCATGAGTTTAAGCCACTGGGTCCAGGATGTGAACCGCGGTCGGTTACATGGGAGTCCAGCGACTTAGCCGTTACACTAACTGCTGGTCCTCAGTGTCAGTTATTTTTATTTTCTGTTTTTAAGCTATCTGTTGAGAATCTTTTTATAAATAAAATTAGTTTTTTGTCTACTTATCCACTACTACAACAAAAAAGTGTGATTAATTTTCTTCATATTAGTAGACTATCTTTGAATAGTCTGATTAAAAAAAAGGCGGCATATACAGAATTCTGTTGTGGGGGTGTTGAGGACGGTGGTGACCAGAAGACAGTGTCCCCCCAAAACAGCTGAAGCTAAGGCCTGTGTGACCACTGACCAGCAGAAAGCCAAGCCTATTCAAACACCATGGACAGATAAATTAAGCAGTTTAAAATATGAGTTCCAAATGAATCAATGCTTTGAGTTTGCTTGCATTTATATGCAATTGGGCTGCTTTGCACATAGCTACTCTATTTAGCAAGGCTAAGGTGAATAGCTGCAAGATTTATTCACTAAAAATGTTTAATGATTCTTTTTCTTTCTAGTCACTCTGAGGGAATAGGCTAGCATATATGAATAGATGAAAAAAGAATATTTTATCACTAGAGTTTAGTTGAGAGTATAATATTAGAATTTTTAGAAATAATTTACTTAGGTACCATTTCAGAGCATTAGATTACAAACAGAATTGGAAAACATCTATTTCAATTTTTATAACAGTTGATATATTTCTGCACCTTGCATAACAAACAGACTAGGGTTTATAATAGAATGCATGTGAGTTGCAAGGAAGATAATTTGCTAATATGAACGGCTTAATGGGTAAGGAGTATTCAGAATAACAGAAATTTGCTTAATCTTCAAATTTGAATGTAATGATGTTTGTGACTAAGACAAGTTCTGAGTGGTCACATTACATTATTCCACATAGATATTTCTTCCATTTGCATTTATGTGGGATATAATGGTCAGGATTCAGGTATTATATGTGTATATGCTTGATATCATTACAAAAACCAATTTTTAAAAAAATGTTGAATTTCAGGGGTCCAGTACCGGCACCATTCATCAGTGGTCTACACTACTTTACAACTTTAGAAGAACTTGAGAAAAGTTTTGAGATGTCTGAAGATTATTTTAAAACTCCCTTTGGACTATATTCTGAAAAGAGGTAAGTCAAGGAATTTTGTTGAAAATAATTGGTTACTTTCTCCTGGTTAGGTAAAATCATGGTGCTCCTCCCTAGGCTTCAGGGAAATCCTAAACTAGAAAGGGGAGTTCTACCTCTCACTGTGGAATTTGCAGGGGAAGACTCTGCCCCTCTAGGGAGGGCACAGGCATGCAGTCTAGGTTCATACAATTGGAAGCTTCTCTCTGAGACTTTGAATCTTGAGGGAATGACACAAAGGCAGACTCAAGAGCAGTTAGAGATCATTCAGTTCTCTGGTGGCAGAAGAAGTGAGAATCCAGGGGAATACCCTGGCACCCATCGTGGTAGTGCAAGCAATGATGTGCTACCAATCTGTCCCTGTAATTTACAACCAACATCTCTGGTTGCCATAATGCTATATTTCAAAATATTGACCAACTGATGTCCCATATATAAAAGGCCATTTCATGGTCCCCACATTTCAGTGGGGCACATAAGCAGAATGTGTGTAGACTGAGGATCCTATTTCATGGGGATTCTCTTTCAGTTGTTCCCGTCACTACAGTTGAGCATATTTTGTACGTCTTCAACAGATTTCCTAAGCAAAGATGGCTGATTGGGTCAATCACCGTCTACTCCCAGGTGGAGATCTCTAGCCAGGGCCCTTATAAATTTTAATATGGTCTCCATCAGGCACCCATCATTGTAGTGAATTGTCTATGGCCAGATGACTGACAGAGAACCAAAGAACTCTCTGGAAGGGACCTGTGGGTATGAAAGCCTAGTGACCCTAGCATTGTAACTATTGACAAGCTTTCTGAAACTGTGTTGAAATTATGGACCTCTGGAGTATCCAAACATATGGCAGTGAAATGCACAATCCATGGGACAGGAAAAAAGTACACCAAAATGTTAGTTGTATATATTCCTTTAGAATTACCAGTTATTTTAATTGTATTCTTTACCCTTTTTTTCTTTAACTTCTAAGTTGTCTGCATAGGATGTATATTTTACTTTTATATCCAAAAAAAAATAAACTATTAAAAATCCATGAGAATTTGATTAAATATTCAACAAATATTCAATAAATGGGAAGAACACTGAAAAATATACACTAAAATACTGTTATCATCTTCTTGTGATGGGATTATGGCCAGATTTTATGTTTTTGTTCTTTCTCCATATTTTCAACAATAAGCATTTTCATAATTTTTGCAGTATTACTGTAATTTCAAAAGGTTATTTTAAAAGTCTGCTAGAGCAAAGAGAGCTTTTCTGAGGGTGGTATGTCATAATAAGATGACAATTTTAGAAGGGAGCAATTCTTTTCCTCACTTCTGAGTTTTATTATTGTGATACTTTGGGTGTCCTTTCATAAATTTGATAAAAAATAACTGTTGACTCTAAATGGTTCCAAGTCTGAACATATGTCACTAGATTCTAGAGAGACCCTAGCATTGTAACTGTTGATTAGCTTTCCGTAACGATGTTGGAACTGTGGACCTCTGAGTAGCTGAGCTCTGAATTTTTAGTACAGTAAGGCTGGCTAATGGGAATCAGTGAGAAAGAGAAAACAAAATGCCACATAGGCCCCGGTCGGCTTGCACATCATGTGTTCTCACGGTAAAAGGGTTCCTATTTCCTCCAACACCACCGCTTTCTTACCTCTGACTTGCAAAGCACTATTATTAGGCTTATGGCACATTTTAGCTGTGTTCTTCCAAGGTGGAAGGAATGGGGGATCTCTCTGGGGATTTATTTTGTAAGAGTATTCATTCCATTCATAAGGGCTTTGTCCTCATGACCTGGGCACCTCCCTACTTTTTAGTACCCTGAGATCTATAATTTCAATATATGAATTTGGGAGTGGAATGTAACACAACCTTTTAGACCATAGCAGATACTAACAAAATAACATAAAATGTGAAAATAATTATATGCAAAGATATTCATTAGAACAACTTGGAAAGAACCTAAATGTCCAAAAATAAAGGAATGATCAAATAACACATGAAGCATATACTTGATGAATTGCTATGCAACCATTAAATATCAGGTTTTGGATACAATAAGATTAGGTTAGGGCCGGCAAGTGGTGTGGTGGTTAAGAGTGCTGGACACCCAAATGGCTGACCAAGGTTCAAGTCCTGGATCTGGCAATTTGCACCCTCTCTCTCTCCTCCTCCCTCTCTGGTCAAATTAAATAAGTAAAATTAAATAAAATAATTATTTAAAAAAAGATAAAGTTAGGTTTTTAGCTAAGATAAAATTATTTAAGAAAAATATGCACAATTACATCAAACAAACAAACAAACAAAAAGTAGAGGGAAAAAAGGGCCAAAATTTAATGGTGGTTTTCTATGTGTGATTTCTCTTTGTCTTTCTAGTTTTCTGTATTTTCTAAAAGTAATGTGTATGTATGTTCAATGAGAAACAATCAGTGGGAACCAGCTGTTGGCATAATGGCTATGTCACTGGACTCCCATGTACTCGGCCACAGTTTGAGTCCCAGACCCAGTGGCTTAAACTCACACTGGGCACGTGTGCGTGTGTGCCCAAGATCCCAAGAGGAGAATGGAGGAGAAGGGATTGCGGCATGGCCATCCCCCTGGTGGGTGATTTCTCGCTTTCTGTCTCTGTCTTTCTGGCGAGCGTGTGCACCCTATAGCAAAAACCTCTTAAAAATATAGTAAACTTTATTTTAAGGAAATAAAAAGAATGGGTAAAGGTAAGTCAACCCCAAACTACTGAAATAAAGTATGAACCTGCATGGGATATGAGAAGCAGAGCCACAGTGATAGCAGATGTATACCATTATGCCCCTGCCCCTGTTCTCAGGTAATGTTTCAAAACCCCCAGTGAATAACTGAAATTGCAGATAGTGCCAAGCCCTCTACATACTATGTTTTTTTCAACACATATATACTTATGATAAATTTAATTTATAAGTTAGGCAAAGTAAGAGCTGAATAACAATAATAAAACAGTGATAATAATATACCATTAAAAAGTTATTACAGAAGTGGCTCTTGCTCTCTGTCTCCAAATTTCTTGTTGAATTGTGCTCACCTGTTTTTGGACTTGGTAAGGATAAGAGGAGACTACTGTAATACACTTGCAACATGCCTATTCCTGTATGGAGAATGTGACAGACCTTACCTCAGTATGCATATTAACGGATAATGACTCATCAGGGTGAATACTGTCATTATCCCCATTTTAAAAATGTGATTGGCAAACTAATTAGTGAGATTAAGGGACTGTCCGAAGGGCATATAGCTAACAAATCTCAGAGACAAGGTGTGAACCCAGGTCAAAAGACCCATATGGCCAACCGTAGTTTGAGTCCCAGACCTGGTGGCTTCCTTTCAAACTTTCTCTCTTTCTGTCTCTGATCTAATTAAAAATGATAATAATAAAATTAAATAAAACAATTCTTAAAAAAAAAAAAGACTCCAGAGTCTTTCTGTTGAGCCCCTTGACTGTACTATCTGTAAAACTTAGAATCTAAATGATGAAGAAGTTGCTGATAGTACTAGACATATGTGAGAGAAACACTGAAACAGAAAAGTCTGGGATGGATAAAAACAATTCAGACTTTTTTTTTTGTATGATTTTTATTATCTCCCACCAGAGAGATAATAAAAATTTTTCTTTTTCTTTTTTTTTTCTCTTTTTCTCCCCAAGCCACCTCTTGTTTGTAATCCTCCCAAACCATCCCAACATCTCTGACAGAAAAGTCACATTCTCTGTAACATCCTAAAGGAACCCCATTTGACCTTTAAAAATGCAAAGGCCCCAAATTCACATTTCAACGCTATGTCTGAGGGGTTTGCCTACATTTACAGTGTACTTTATGACACTGATATCAAATGTAAATCATTCTTCTATGTGTGCATGAAAGTGGTGATGGGCTTTTTCACTTGACCTAAGCATGATCTCTTGCCCAGGTCCTGTCAGTAGCTTAAGGCACCAATTAGTGAGACAGCTGGTGAGACCCAGGGTACAGTCTATAAAATGCTTAAATTAGTCACCATCTGGTCCTATAGTCATTATACCCAAGAACGTAGTTGGAAGGAGCCCCCGTGTGACCCATCTCAGAAGAGATGTATGTCACATTGGCAATGACACCCTTTCCCCAAAGCACAGTGGTGGGTAAAACTCAAAGTTTCACATTTTCCTCATCCTTCACGTTACGTTTATCAGTTAAATTAATTATCTGAACAAAAACTTTATTCAGTTCATTCAAAAAACATTGACAAAATAAATTTCAGTTGCAGCTGACTGAAATAAAATGATTCATTGAAACTAATGACAATGAACACATTACTTTCCATTAGTGCTCACAAGAAAAATATAGAAAGGTGGCAAATAAATAACTTAGCATCACATCTTGAGGAATTGAAAAAACAACAATAAGAAAAAGCCTAAAAATAAAAGAAGAAAAGAAATAGTAAAGATAAGAGCTGAAATAAATAAAATAGAGAATAAAAAAAACTATACAAAAACATTAATTAAATGAAAAGTTGGTTTTTTTGAGAGGATAAACAGATTGATAAGCCATTAACTAAACTAATTAAGAAAAATAAGGAAAGAAACCAAACAGACAAAATCAGCAATGAAGCTGGCACTATTACAAATGATATATTTGAAATACAAAAAGTTATGAGAGAATACTAAACAACTAGTGGCCAATGAACTAGGAAATCTGGATGAGATGGACAAATTTCTGGATAAGTGCAAGTTATCCAGGTTGAATCAGGATGAAATAGAAAAGTCCAAACAGACCAATAGCAAGTGAAGGGATTGAAGCAGTGATAAGAAGTCTCCTAAGAAAGAAAAACCCAGGTCCAGATGACTTCACTTCTGAATTCCACAAAACCTTCAAAGAGCTTACCCCAATTTTTCTCAAACTATTCCTAAAGATTCAAAAGGAAGAAATCCTCCCAATCTCATTTTTTGAAGCCTTTATTACTGTGATACCAAAACCAGACAAAGACTTAACCAAAAAATACTACAGACCAATATCCCTGATGAATATTGGTACAAAAAATTTCAACAAGATATTAGCAAACTGAAATCAACCATAAATCAAGAAGATTATACACCATGACCAGATAGGTTTTATCCTGGGGATATAAAGATGGTTTAACATATGAAAAACAATCAATGTAATGCACCACATTTCTAGACATAAAGAAAACCTATATGATCGTGTTTATAGATGCAGAATAGCATTTGATAAAATACAACATGCTTTATGATCAAGACTCTCAGCAAAATTGGGGTAAAAGGGACATTTCTCAAAATAATAAAAGCCGTATATGACAGACCTACTGTGAGCATCATGCTGAATGTGGAAAAGCTAAAAACTTTCCCATTAAAAACTGGAGCAAGACAAGATTGCCCACTCTCTCTATTCCTCTTTAACAGAGTGAGGGAAGTACTAGCCAATGCAATCAGACAAGAGAGTAAAATAAAAGGCATTCAGATAGGAAAAGAAGAAGCTAAACTGTTTTTATTTGCAGATGATATGATTATATATACCTAGAAAATCCTAAGGAATCTATGAAAAAACTAGAAGCGATCAATGAATTCAGTGAAATTGCAGGATACAAAGTCAATCTACAAAAATCCATAGCTTTTTTTATACAGTAGTGTACTGACTGAGACAGAACTAAAGAAACCAATCCCACTTACAATAGCTACAAAACAAATAAGATACCTAGGAATAAGTCTAACCAAAGAAGTAAAAGACCTTTATAAGGAAAACTATGAAAAACTGAAAAAAGAAATAGAATATGATATTTAAAAATGGAAGAGATCCCATGCTCTTGGATTGAAAGAATAATACAATCACAATGTCAGTCCTACCCACATTAATTTATGTATTCAATACAATCCCGAACCAGTCACCTGAGACATTCTTCACAGCAATAGAAAAAACAGTTATAAACTTTGTCTAGAATCAAAAAAGACCTTGTATTGCCAAAGCAAGACTGCCTCATAATAATAAACTGGGAGGCATCTCACTACCTGAACCATCTCTTTGAAAGTATCTACTCCTTGTCTCTGTCCAAGTAGTTTTCAAAAACACTGCTCACCACCATTTCTGACATTTACCTGTCTATGAAGCATTGCAGAGATATTAAGTCAGTTGGAAAGAGGAAACCTGGATCCCAATGAGGCCTTCCAGATGCAATGCTCCCTCTGCTTAGATGTCCGTCTTCTCTCCCGTTCTAGCCTCCACCACACCTGCTTCTTTTGTCTAGTTAATTCATCCCTTAGGTCGAAACTTGAATGTCACTTCCTCTAGGAGAGTTGTCTTGGCGTCTCTAATATATTCGCCTATCAACCTGGATTTCCCTTCATATCATTAACACAGTTTTCACCAAGTATTTGTTAGATTAGCCAGCAAGTTTGTAAACCAGATGAGGGCAAGTCCAGATCTCTCATTCATTGTTGTAGCTACCAAACCTCTATTGTGCTGGTATATGAGTGGCTTAATGAATGAGAAACAGGAAAGGGGCAAGAGGTGAAACAAATGTTGGGTCTCAAGGTGTATGAGTCAGGCACTGTAGAGGAGCATGCTGGTCTTTCTGTCAGGTGGGATCAAAGTTGTCCCTTCTTACTGAGCCAGAACTACTCATGGCATGACTTCATCACTACACAAGGAAACATCACTAAAAATTCTCTTCCACCCTCTTGTTTACACCTGAAAATCTGCCATAAGAATTGCATTCCTTTAAGATTTGGCCCTCGTTAAAAGATAAGATTTCTCCTAAAAACCTGGGAGAAAGTAACCCAGGGATCAGGATGGGGCTCTGCGACTACTTGATACAAGAGTGAGTAAGCTGGGGGAACCAGCAGTTAGCGTAATGGCTATGTCGCTGGACTCCCAGATAGTCGACCGTGGTTCGCGTCCCGGACCCGGTGGCTTAAAACTCACGCCGGGCGTGTGTGCGTGTGTGCCCAAGATCCTGAGAGGAGAATGGAGAAGGGATTGCGGCGTGCCCATCCCCCCTGGGGGGGTGATTTCTCGATTTCTGTCTCTACGTTTCTCTTTGTCTGTCTGGTGAGTGCACATGCCCTATAGCGAAAATCTCTCTCTCAAAAAAAAAAAAAAGAATGAGTAAGCTGGGAGAATTAAATGTCAGCCATTTTAATGTAACCAATTTCAGATTCTTTAATGAGGGCAAATTTGGTGGGGATGAAGCACAATTCTAGGACAGAACGGTCTACAACCAAGACCTGAGAACTGTAAATAATTCAGTTACATTACTAAGTCGCTCATTTTCAAGATTAGCTCCCCCAATGGAGTTGATTCCCTAGAAGGAAGGTAGGAACAGTTAAATCGCAAAGGAGAGAATCCTGGCAGGAGAAAGTACATGGACCCAGATTTGAGATTTCAGGCATCCAGATCATACCCCAGCCTTACCTTTAAAAAGGGAACACAATCAGAGTCCAAAAAAAACAAGCATTAGATAGCATGGAGTCCAGATTGGGCCACTAAATATTCTATCTTTGAACTATTAGGAACTGCCATGTACATACTGCATTTAATTCTGAAGTCCTAGAGTTTGGGATCTGCACCTTACTCATCTCATTTTATACTCCAGCACGTATCTTGATGCTCTGGTCTTAGGCCGTCAGTGTGTTGTGCGAAATGAATGGGAAGTTCATGCTACTGAGTACAGCTGCTTTGCAGTACTTTCTATAGAAGCCATTTAAAACTAGCTCCACGAACACGTGTTCACAAACCAATTGACATGACTTGATAAGCGTAACCCAGTGAAGTCAGAGGCCTAGATTCTATAACCTTTAGTAGTTTTGCATCTCAGAAAGGTCTTTCATTTTCATTTTCCAGTGGCAAGGATTCCTGTGTTGCCATGAAAAGTACATACTACCCATCTTCTCCGTGGACAAAAGATTATTATCAACCTCCAGAGGGCAGCATTTATTCGCGTCCAGGATCTGGAGTAAGTGAGAGTGAAATGGAACAGTCCCTAAAAGGTATGAGCTGTTTTATGTAAATGTGAACTTTCTATCTATATGTGTTTCCCACTGTCTTTCTGACCTTTCCTAATTATTATTATTATTAAATGAATGTTTTTAGTCAGAATCAAGTAGAAAGAGGTAGAAAGTGTTCATTTTTCTCAGATGCGAATCAAAGTTCTGACAGGCTAGAAACAAGCTCAGGTTAGGTCACGTAGCTGCTTAGAGTGGAAGATGCTGATCTACCCACCTGGACACACGACCTGCAGGGAACTAGGACAAGGGACGCATGCTCTCTGAAGGAGGTCTTTGGTGACTTTGACCCCATTCAGTGAAGGTGAAGAGAAGCATGGAGGGTTTCCAATTGTCTGGTCTCCTGCTATGGGGTTTGGCAGAATTATGTTGGTTTTAGGCTAAAAGGATCTGTCTCAGCCCCTCCTCTTCACCCTCTTTTGGATCTTTGTTCTCTAACATACATGTATACATGTGAATGCTCATATCCATGCAGAGACGGAATGGCCATTGTGCTTGCTTTCTGCACTCATTGGCAAAGTTCATAAATAACACTAAATAAAGATCTTCCGCAGTATGAGGGAACTGAAGGGCTAGAGATGAAAATGGGAATGAAAGCAAGTAACCCAGGGGTCAGGATGGAAGGTGGGGTCTGTGAATAACTGATATAGGAATCAGTAAGTTGGGAGAATTCTCTAGCCATGGAGGCTAAGAGGGAGCCACGACTTTTAGCCTTGGGGAAAGGTTCTGCCTAAACTCAAAAGAGGATGTTCTACCTGCTTGCTCAGGTGACCAGAGAAACTAAAATGAGATCATAGACTTCTTTGGTTGCTCAAGAAAAGAGGATACAGGGAATGATGTCTCTAAAAGAAAAAAGGAACTAAAGCAGACATCTTCTAACCCATTCTAAGGTAGACTGTCTCTTTAGCTATAATTGTATTCAGGATAGCTGCTGACATCAGATGTTTCCAAGAGTTTTATTGATGGACACAAGCAATAAGGATTAGTTACAAAACCAAACCCCTAGGAAATAACCCCAAATCCTCAAGCAAACCTGTATGCCATCTTAAAGGAAGCGAGGAGTATTTTAGGAATCCCTTAAAGGCTAGTACCTTCCACTTCCACATCAGGTTCTGAAGGGTCTTAGGAGCGCTGGACCGAACATGACACCAAAATTCATCATGGCTCTGGCTTCTCATAAGACAGTGTTCCCAGACCCTCTTCATCTCAATTTCTCTGCCCTGTCTGTATCCTTTCTTAAATGGAATAGAATCAAACCCTGGATTCCAAACCAAGTCTGACCAGAATATGGTACAATGAAAAGAGCATTAGATTAGGAACCAGAAGACCTAAATTCTAGTTCCATTTCAGTGCTGTCTGATTGCATAATGTCATGTCTAAGACTCACATCATGCAATTGACCATGTGAGATCCAGCCACCTTAACCACTGTGCCATAGGCAGTCCCAATCCTATTTTTTGAAGGGTGATATCATTTGTGTCTCCAATACTTTTCTCACTGCCAATGAATTCTCTCCAAATATTCTAATACTACTTCTCTAAGAATTGCAGGCCCCTGAGATGTAATTTATTTGGTTGTGGAAACTTCAACAGATTGAGAAAGGAGACCTGCTCTACTGTCTTCTTTCTACTCCAGGGTCTTGATTTTTCTTAAAGTGTTTATCTTATCTTTCCTAGTCTCAAAAATATCTGTGGTGGAACCAGCAGTTAGTGTAATGGCTATGTCGCTGGACTCCCACGTAGTCAACCGCGGTTCGAGTCCCGGACCCGGTGGCTTAAAACTCACACCGGGCGCGTGTGTGTGCATACCCACGATCCCGAGAGGAGAATGGAGGAGAAAGGATTGAACTGTGGCCATCCCCCATGGGGGGTGATTTCTCACTTTCTGTCTCTTTGTCTCTCTCTGTCTGGCAAGCGCACGCACCCTATAGCAAAAAAAAACCTCTCCAAAAAAAGGGAAAAAAAATCTGTGGTGAAACATTTTTAAAATTGATAATTTTCTGTATATCCAGAGAAATTCTGTAACATTAAATCAAAGAAATTGCCCATTTAAAAATTTTCTCTGTACTAGATAACAGTGTCATTAAGACTGTTGGAAAAATGTTACTGTTCATTCTTTGAAATTAAATTCTGAGGCATAAAAAAAAATCTGTGGTGAAAACAAAAGAAGCAAATGAAGAGCTTTTAAAAAATCCTTTGTTCACATGATATCAAGCAAGGTGCCTTTTTTTATTTCGATATACTGTAAAAAGGTTAATTTTTCCCTTTTACTTTGGATTGCTTTGGTATGGCCAATAGATTGGACTGCCAAGCTAATGTCCTTTTTTTTTCTCACTCCCTGTAGAAACCTCTGCTTCACTTTCTCACCCCCCTGTCACACTGCTTACTCATCATTGATACTTCTGCTTTCCCAGTGGCCATCATGCCTTCAGTATCTATCTTCCAACTTCCTTCTGTTTCCCACAGTTCCTTAGGAAACTTAGCTCAGATGTCTTCCTGATTGGTGAACACACCAATCTCAGGGGATATTAGATGAAGTTTCTCTAGAAATGTGTGAATGTGTACACACACGCTTGCATGCTGAATTTGCACGTGTTTGATTATGAAAGAGTAAGGGGTACTGTTGCAGAGGGGGCGTGAGCAGAGTAAGGGGTACTGTTGCAGAGGGGACGTGAGCAGAGTGGAAGAAGAGCATAGTAATCGCTCTTAGCAACCTTCTGGCCACTGGCCAAATCTACACAACTTAAGTCTTGTCCTATCCTACACAAGATATATTCTGACCACATTCCCTATTTTTTTAAATTTTTACTTATTCCTGTAGTTTGTCATAAATTCTGAAGTTTATTTTGGTGTTTACATCCTGCAGTGCTTATTTTCTTTGCTGAGAGCACCGAGGGATTATCTGTATTTACTGTATCTTTTCTTCTTAATATTTTACAGCACTACCTCTACAATCATTGTCACATGAAAAAGAGTCTCTCCAACATGGAAGACACCCAGTCATGGTCATCAGTCGCCCAGGTTCCAACACCAAACCCACCCTCCCTCCGATCCCTCAGGGCCGCAAGTAGACAAGTGCCTAATGCTAATCTTAACATGGAAAACTTGCTCTGACAGTGTTCAGTCCCTGTGTCTCACTTGGCTATGGATTCTAGTTGTTTCCCACTCGGCCAACTACCTGCAGAAGAATGTCCCTCCTGTCTAATTCTCTCCATCAATTTCTTTTGTAATCCTCTAAAGTGTCTTTTATGTCATTATTTTATTTAAATTTTTTTTAAAAAATGAAAGTTATTCTTAGCCTTTAAAAATGGCATGTTTTTTCCCCCATAGCTATAAATCATGTTTCCAGCCGTTTCCTATTCTGAAATACCAGATGGCAATATCTCTCAAGATCTCTGCATTGCTCTGTGCACAGAGATTTTGGGATATAGTTATCAGAGATTGTGTTCTTAAAATTCCAATGTGTCCATTTATAACATTCATGTATCCCCTAGAGGACTGAGTTAATTGGGTTCTTGGAAAAGTCATGACATATTTTTCTGTGTTTTTCTATGCAAAAATGTGTCATGACTTTTTTGAACAACCATGTATTTATTCTGATTGTGAAAGTATAGAATTCCATTTAACTCATGACTAATGTAATATGATTACATATATCAATGGAAATTAATGTAATTTGAGGGGCTCTTGACTTGCTTTAGCAATATGAAGAACAAAAATCAGATAATTATTTTTATCATCTCCTGATTCTGATTATGTGAGGCTTGTCATTAGAAAAGTTTTTAAACACTTTTCATGGGACCAGCAGTTAGCATAATGGCTATGTCGCTGGACTCCTGTGTAGTCGATCACAGTTCGCCTCCCGGACCTGGTGGCTTAAAACTCACACCGGGCACGTGTGCGTGCATGCCCAAGATCCTGAGAGGAGAATGGAGGAGAAGGGATTGCAGCGTGGCCATCTCCCTGGGGGGTGATTTCTCGCTTTCTATTTCTCTGTCTCTCTCTGTCTATCTGGTGAGCACACGTGCCCTATAGCAAAAAAACTCTCAAAAAAAAAAAAAACCAACACTTTTCATCATCTTTGTAGATTTACTCCCTGTCTTTTGCAGAAACAAAACAAAACAATATCCATTGAGTAATTATAGACAAGGCCAGAATTCAGCTTATCTGTGCTGGTGAGGTTATTCTGGTTGTTGAAACATTCAAATATATTCCTTTGAACTGACCCATGTTACTCTCTGAGTTCTCTAAGTGTGATGAATCGTTAAAACAGTAGCCTCTATCTAATACTGGACTAATTTTTAACATTTTTAAATATCAGAAACTTCTAATGACTTTCCCCTTAAGAATATCAAACCCCCCTTTAATAATTCCTTTCCTCATAACTCAAACCTGGGTGTAGCACAATTTGCTGTTGGCTCCTGTTCACCTAGTCCTATTCTCAAACAGGTGCTGATTAAAGCTTTCCTCAGGGTTGGCAGAAGGGGAGCAGGGAGAGCATGCTGGAGGGGACAAGGCCAAGCAAGAAAAGGGGAGGCAAACTTCTAGAGAAGGAGGGAGGCAGATGGTGGGTCCTTGTGCCCCAGGAATCTTCAAGAACAGTTAAACTTTCACAAACATTACTTAATATTTTTAAAAATGACTGTGAAACATCTTAGTAGAAGATAGTAGAAGATACAAAACTGACAGTTTCGGGTGTCAACTTGACTGGAATAAGGATTACCTAGAAAAAGTATTACTCTGGGTTTGCCGATGGGGGGTGTTTCCAGAAGGAATTAACACCAGAGTCCGAGCAGACTAGATGTGGAGGATCTGCCCTTAATCTGGGTGGTACAATTCAAGCATCAAAAGGCCCAGAGAGATGGCTGGATCTCTTTTGAGACAGACCAGACAGCCTTCTTCTGCTGGCTTGGACATCAGAACTCAATGGAGGCCAGATGGGGAACGTGGACTTCCACCTCAACCTGATAGTAATGAGTCAGTGCCTTCTTCCCACACCGGAATGCTGTCAGAGAAGATCCAAAAAGACAAGAGGTTGAAAAAAGATCTGGAGTCCCATGATATACTACCCAAAATGTCCAGGATAGTTTAACAAATCACTCATTAAATCAAGACTCGGGAAAACTTCAACTTGAGTGAGAAGAGACAATCACCATATGTCAACAGCAAAATGATACTTCAAAAAATGTTAAAAAGAAAGCAATGGAAACTCAAACCAAACAAAAGGAAATAATAAAGAGCCAAAACAAATGAAAATGAAAACAGAAAAATTATAGAGAAAAATCAATGAAGCAAAAAACTGGTTCTTTGAAAAGATTGGTAATATCAACCATCTCCTTTTAGTAAGACTAACAAAGACAGAGCTATGATTCAAATGAATGATAAAAGGAATGAAATAGGGGAGAAAACCATAGATTCTGCAGACATCAAAAAGGATTATAAGGGATTATAAAGAACTCTACATACATAAATTTAACTACTTAGATGAAATGGACCAATTCCTCAAACAACACAAACAACCATAGCTCACCTCATATAGGACAGATAATTTGAATAAACTTATTAATATATTAAAGAATTGAATTAAAGAGGACTAGCTTGATGGCACAACGATAACATGCTGCTCAAGCAATGCTGGATCCATATGGAAGATCATAGGTTTGGTTCCATCAACCTGCACACACTAGGCACATGCATCATGATCCTGGTTGTTTGGAAAGGCTTGATGGGAAGGGGAGGACTGTGGCATGAAACCTCGTTGAGGATGCTTGTCACTCTTTCTCTCTCTTGAAAATAAACAAACAAATAAATAAATAAATTGTAATTGAATTTGAAAATTGATAATTAAAGATCCTGGTTGTTTGGAAAGGCTTGATGGGAAGAGAAGGATTGTGGCATGAAACCTTGTTGAGGGTGCTTGTCACTCTTTCTCTCTCTTGAAAATAAACAAACAAATAAATAAATAAATTGTAATTTATTTATAATTAAATTTGAAAAAGAAATTCTCCAGGCCTAGATAATTTCCCTTGAGAGCCACATGTTTATAGGAGAATTCACACCAACTTGACACAATCTCTTCCAGAAAATAGAAAAAGAATGAACGCTTCCCAACTCATTTTATGAAGCCAATATTACCCCAATACCAAAATCAGACAGTATAAAGAAACAAAAGTATATACCAGTATCACGTAAAAATCTTTATCAAAACATTAGCAAATTAAACTCATCAGTTCATTAACTATGTATACACCATGACCACATGGGACTTAACCCAGGTATGCAAAACTTATTCAACAGTTGAAACCACCTAATGAAGTCCGTCATTATAACAGGCTAAAGAGAAAAAAATGGGAATATTTTATCGATTGACATAGAAAAAAGCATTTGACAAAGTTCAACACCTATTCATTATAAAAGTGTAGGAATAGTAGGGATCTTTCTCAGTTTGATAAAGAACACCTACCAAAAATGTACAGTTAATATCATACTTAGTAGTTAAAGACTAAATGCTTTCTCCCTAAGAGTAAGAACAAGACAAAGATGACTACTCTCATCACTGTTATTCAACATAGTACTGGAAATTCTAGCCAACATAATAAGAAAAGATAATAAAAGGAATATAGATCAGAAAGAAACCTCTGTTTGCAGATGCTTTAATTATGTGCACAGAAAATCTCAAGAAATTTTAAAAGAAAAACTCCTAGAACAAATAAGTTCATCAAAGTCTCAAGAATCAAAATCAGCATAAAAAATTAATTGTATTTTTGTATACTAGCAATGAGAAGTTAAACTATAGTCATTCAAATAATAATATACTTAGAATAACTTTTAAAAATGTAGACTTGTATGTTGTAAACTAAAAATAATAAAGCTGAAACTGTACACATGTAGAATTCCAACTTTAAGAAATAAATCAGGGAACCAGCAGTTAGCGTAATGGCTATGTCGCTGGACTCCCACGTAGTCGACCGTGGTTTGTGTCCTGGACCCGGTGGCTTAAAACTCACGCCGGGCGCGTGTGCGTGCGTGCCCAAGATCCCGAGAGGAGAATGGAGGAGAAGGGATTGCGGCGTGACCATCCCCCCTGGGGGGTGATTTCTTGCTTTCTGTCTCTATGTCTCTGTCTGGCGAGTGCACGCACCCTAGAGCGAAAACTTTTCCAAAAAAAGAAAAAAAAAAGAAAGAAATAATGAAAGAAATAATAGAAAACCCATTTTGTATCCTCTCTAATTATATTCTGCTCATTTTCCACCCAGAGGTAACCATTATCCTCAGTTTGGTTATCATTCCCTTATATTTCTTTATAGTTTTGGTACGTATGTGTCTATTCTTAAACATTATATTTTTTTGTTCTTCATGATTTTAAATTTTATATTGTACAGGAGTATTTGTAAAAGTTCATGGAAAATGTGTATTGTGAAAAAACTATGCATGGGTTTCACATTTTTTTCTGCACCTAAATAAACTAATATTTTCATTTTAGTTTCCATGAACTTTTTGAAGCCATTGAATATGTATTCAGCAATTGGATTTTTCTCAATTATTTTTTTAAGCTATAAGGCATGTGTGGACACCTGAGAGAGACAGAGATGGACACAGAGAGGCAAAGTGTGAGATCAACTTTCCAGGGGGATGGCCATGACTCAGTACCTTCACCTCCATTCTCAGAAACTTGGGCACACATGCACATGAGCCCAGAGTGTTTTTCAAATTGCCAGGTCCAGAACCATGAAGTCGGCCATGTGGGATCCAGCACTTTAACCACTACACCACCTGCTGGCCCAACATTTTGATTTTGAGATTAGTCCATGTAGATTGTTTTGTAGTTTTTATAAGTGTCACTGCTATTCCATTGTAAAACTATGCAATTTATTTATGTACTTTTCTGTTGATGAGAACTAAATTTGTATACACATGTTCACTATTTCAAAAGATGCAGCCAGAGGGAACCAGCAGTTAGCGTAATGGCTATGTCGCTGGACTCCCATGTAGTCGACCGCGGTTCGCGTTCCGGACCTGGTGGCTTAAAACTCATGCCGGGCACGTGTGCGTGCATGCCCAAGATCCCGAGAGGAGAATGGAGGAGGAGGGGTTGCGGCGTGACCCTCCCCTCTGGGGGGTGATTTCTCATTTTCTGTCTCTATGTCTCTCTCTGTCTGTCTGGCGAGCGCACGTGCCCTATAGCAAAAACCTCTCCAAAAAAAAAAAAAAAAGATGCAGCTAGAAATATTCCTAAT